TTGTGGCCAAAGAATGAGCTTCTACAGGAGCTTCTTGTTGGCAAGCTGAAGTTTTTCTTCTCTAATATAGCTAAGCAATCTGGGAACCTGTTAAAATTGTTCAAATGTTAGACAAGATGGTCATATTGTTTTAAAATTATAATTTAGCAGATATTTCTATATAATAGTTTCTTGTTTAAATACAGAAATGCCTAGGAATCAATTCTTTGCTATTTAATCATTTAATGATAGACTTACTGACTAATGCTTTAAGGAATTAATGCACTGATGAGATCTTGCTAGCCTCTCCATTACAGAATTTAAACATGTTGTTCAGTGGAGTAATCTGTTAGTGTCTTAAACACAGGTCTGCATTTTTAAATAAGATGAAACACTTAATGACAGGTACATCTGTTTCATTAGTAAAAATACAATAAATGTATTCTTGGGCACATCTTTTGGCTTGGTTTTTCCATGAGCAGGGCTGAAACACATGAATAGTCCCTAGAAGAGGGCTGCCATTTTTACTTCTTGTTCCTGAATAGTGTTCCAGTGCAGGCAGATACACTCCTGGGCTTTTTCACTGGCCTTGTGGGTCCTTCATTTTTCATCCTTTGAAAGCAAAGCTAGAAGAAGAGTATCTGAGTTTGCTGTGTCTCAGTATTTTTGTTTCCTCTTGCTGCTTTTGTAAGGCGTGTATGAATCCACTCTAAGATGAAAACTGACGTCAGATCTCAAAATGGCCATTGAAGTGCTGTACGTGCCAGCCTGTTGATGGGAAAGGTCCTGCAGCAGGCCTGGTCTTAGGGAGCAGTGAATGAGCATAACCCCAACAAGGAACTCTGAGGGTTCTAGCTCTGCTGAGGAAAGATGCCCATCTGCAACCTTGAGCCAACTGCTTTGTCTGTAGGAGGTGGATATGGCTTGGAATGCTTGTCTCTTGGTGCCAGGCAGCGTGTGCCATCCTCATTTCTTCTTTATGCAGTGATGGAAAGGGTCATGGCTACAGAAGTCTGGTTGAGAACTGCCTTCTTGTGGGTCTGATCTGCATACTGTGTGACATCAACCGAATGGTGATGGAGATCTTTGAGATGGAGGGAGCATAATGCATTTGTGCCAGTGCTTATCAGGGGTTTAAACTTCCCTGATAGCATTTGTTCTTCAGTTGCTATTAATAGCAGGGCCTAGAGATAGTTCGGGATGTGATAGCTGACAACTTTCTTCATCATATAGTCAATGAATGAGCAGAAGTGTTTCTATTTTAAGCTTAGCTTTGACAAGTAATAGAACTTCAGAGAGAAGCAGTTCGTAGAAAATAACCTTGGGGTGAGCTACCACAAGAGGTTGAAGAGGAAAAATAAACAGAGGGCTGCAACTCTGATAAAGGAAGACATTTCTTTAGCCAGCTGTGCTGTGGGGAATTTGTATTAGTTTCAAATGTGTTTGTTTAAGTTAAGGGTGCTAATAAACTTAGGCAGAGGTGCAAGTTAAGGCAGATTCTGAAGGAATGATCTCGTTTGAACTTGGTGTGAAGAGTTGCTGTGTTGGGGAATCTGTGGAGAAAGAAGGAACGGTTTGCTTGAAAGAGGTTTGTGCTAGGTGAGAATTGCCTCCAGTCTTGTACCCTTGGTCTTGCCAAGGCTCCTCTTTCTTGCTGTTTATATGTCAAAGGTGTTGCCTGTCTATATCTTGCTTGTCTTTTTTATGTTGCATTGGTTCCTGGGATAATGTGATGATGTGCAATGCAGCTAATGTGTTTCTTTTATTGATGAAGAGGGGAATGTTGACCACAGGGAAAAAAGGATAGTAATACAAACAAATGCATCAAAATAGATTTCAACCTTGACAGACGTTCATTTGTGAAAGTCTTAAAGCATCCTCCATATGAAGGCCTCTGAGCTGAGGAAAACAGATTACATGAAGAAAAAAACTGTGGCTATTTCACAACAGACTGCTCATGGAAGCTTTCCAAAGTGGTGTGATCAAGGAACTAACTTTGAAGTTGGAGTTTGTGACCTTTGTTACCCAGTGTGATAAGTTTACAACACTGAATTGGACTGATTCAGGGGGCCCAGTTTAAATCATAGGTGATACAGTGCGGTGTTTTAGAAAGCTACAATTACAATGAATTTACATATATTAATTCATCTTTCTTTTATTGTCTTCTGAAAAGTAAAATGCTTCTCCTGGTAGGGTCGAGGGATTTAAAGCAGGTATGAAAGAGGAAGAGGTTAAAATGAGGCTCACTAAAGATGAGCCTAGGGGAACAATGTCAAGATTGGAGGTGAGGCAAATTCTCAGCTGAAGTGCATCTACACCAACACATGCAGCATGGACAGCAAAGAGGAGGATCTGGAAGCTGCTGTGCAGCAGGCAAACTGTAACTTAGTTGCTCTTACTGAAACAGAGGGATTGCCTCAGCTGTTGGAGTGCTGTAATGGAAGGCTGTAAGTTCTGAAGGGATAGGCAAGGAAGGAGGAGCTGTGTCATGGCTCTCTATGCTAGAGAGTGTTTTAACGTTGTTAAGCTTGGGAATGCGAATGATGAGGTTGAGTCTCTGTGGGTAAGGGTCACGGGGAGGGCCAACAAGGCAGACATGCTGGTGGGGGTCTGTTATAGACTGCCTAACCAAGATGTAGAGATGGATGAGGCATTGTATAAGCAGCTGGCAGACGTTGTTGTGTGATCAGCAGCCCTTGTTCTCATGAGGGATTTTAACTTCCCTGATATATACTGGAAGTACAGTACAGCTCAGAAGAAGCAGTCTAGGTTTCTGGAGCGTATGGAAGATAACTTCTTGACACAGCCAGTAAGAGAGCCTACCAGGGAGGTGCCCTGCTAGACCTGCTGTTCACAAACAGAAAACGCCTAGTGGGGGAGGCAGAGGTTGGGAGCTGTCTTGGACTGAGTGACCACAAAATGGCAGAGTTCTGTATTCAGGATGGAGTCAGGAGGAGGAGTCAGCAAAACTGCTACCTAGGACTTTTGGAGGGTAGACTTTGAACTGTTCAGGACACTGGAAGGGTGGGTCCCTTGGGAGTCAGTCCTTAAAGGGTAAAGAGGTCCAGGAAGGCTGAACGCTCCTCAGGAAGGAATTCAGGAGGAGTACAGGAACAGGATATCCCCCAGTGCCATGAGATGAGCTCAGGGACAAGAACACTGGCATGGGTGAACAGGGAACTTTTTCTAAGTCTCCAAGAGAAAAAGAGACTCTATGTCCTGTGGAGTGCATTGTCAGTAAGCTTAAAGATGACACCAAGCTGGGAGGAAGTGTTGATCTACCTGGGGGTAGGGAGGCCATACAGAGGGATCTGGACAGGCTGGATTTCTGGACTGAGGATAATGGGTTGAAGTTCAGCAAGACCTGGTGTCAGGTCCTGCATTTTGGCCACAACAACCCCAGGCAATGCTACAGGCTTGGGGCAGAATGGCTGAAAAACTGCGTTGAAGAAGTGGACTTGAGTGTATTAGTCGACACTCAGCTGAACATGAGCCACTAGTGTGCTCAGATAGCCAAGATGGCATCCCAGCTTGTATCAGAATTAGTGTTGCCTGCAGGAGCAGGGAATGATCATCCCTCTGTACTCAGCACTGGTGAGGCCGCACCTTGAGTTCTCTGTTCAGTTTTGGGCCCCTCACTACAAGGTAGACATCAAGGCTTTGGAGTATGTCCAGAGAAGGGCATTGGAGGTGTGAGGGGTCTGGAGTACAGGTCTTATGAAGAGAGGCTGATGGAACTGGGACAGTTCTGTCTGGAGAAGAGGAAGCCCATGGGAGACCTTATCGCTCTCTACAGCTGCCTAAAAGGAGGCTGTGGGAGGTGGGGGTTGGCCTCTGCTCCTGCATAGCTAGTGATGGGGCGAGAGGAAATGGCCTCAAGTTGTGCCAGGGGAGGTTCAGGTTGGATGTTTGGAAAAATTTCTTATGCGAAAGAGTGGTCAGGTGCTGGAGCACGCATCCCAGGGAGGTGGTGGGATCACCATCCCTGGATGTGTTCGAGACATGGTTTAGTGGGGAAATATTGGTGGTAGGTGAATGGTTGGACTAGATAATCTTAGAAGTCTTTTCCAACCTTGGTGATTCTATGATTCTGTGGTTTCTGAATTATAATTTAAGTCTTAATTTAAGTCTAAATTCAACTACTGCTTGCATGAGGTGTTATTTCCAGGAGTGAGATGTGTGCATCTCCCATCCCTTCAGATGAGATGGTATCTGCACTGTTTGCAAAAGTGCTGGCTGAACTGTTGCGCTCAGAGTAAGCTTCTGCCTGCTCTGCCTTAAAACAATGTGAAAATCACTAATGAAGTGATTCTCCTTTGTCCAAAAGAGAGTTGTAGAAATCTAGCAAAACTGCTTCCCAGACTACACAAGATTGTTGATAATAGTAATGTTAAGGATTTTGGCTGTATATTTAAATAAGCGTCAAATTCAATCATCCGTAAATTTTTGATGGGATCTTCTGTGTCGATCTACCTGTCAGCATTCTTCAGTGAATCCCTGTTACCTTCCTTTTTCTTACTCTAAATTAGAAGAGTGTTATGATAGCCTTGCTACTCCTTTTCTTTAGTTTTTCAGATTTAAGGATGGGTTGTGATGCATAATGGATCTTCATGTCTTTGATTAGACACGTCAACAAGCTGAACAATATGAACTTGTCAACTGAACCTTTTTTGTTTAAAGTGACTTGTTGGGAGCTGACTTCTTAACAGTTGTCTTGGGGGTAGGTTGTGAGCTTGTTCCTATTCTGTCTTTAGAAATAGCCATGAGAAAGAGGCTGTAACAGTAGGGGAAGATGTGCAGGAAGATGGTAAGTTATCAACTACTGGAAAACAAACTGTGCATCTGTTACACTGAGGATGGGGAGAAATGCCTCTTAAAAAAAGCTAAGCTGTAGAATGTTTTTTCTTCTAGTGACAGGAAGGCTCTTGAAAAGATGGCTGTAAGTAGGTAGTTAACAAAATGTGTGTATTTAGGCTTATTGCAAGCTTTCTAAAGTACTCTTGATGTCTTGCTTCTTGCAGAGACTCCAACCGTCATGTTAAGGTAAAGCAGAAAAGTGCAGTGCTGAACATGCTAAAGAAGTTGGACAAAATAAGGTTCAGAGGTCACAAGAGAGATGAGTTCCTTGATTTAGCAGAGTCTCCAAATGCTTCTGACACTGAATGTGGAGATGAAATCCCAGTGAAAATACCTCGAACATCACCCCGAGACAATGAAGAGCTGAGAGACCCTGTAAGTACTAGGTTTAACTATTGTTATATTATGTTATTGTTGGGTAGAAAGAAAAATAACAAATCAATAATTCCTTTATTAGTTCAAGGTACTTTCTTAATAGTAGTGTTTCCTCTTCCTGTTGCTGTTTTTAGATGTTGTAGGTTGACAAGTCTGTTAATTTTGGATGTGCTTCTGAATACTCTAAAGTTTTATTTGCTTTGTTAAAATACTAGTAAATATAAAGAAGAGACTTCTGGTTGCTTTTCAGCAAGAGAAACTCATAACTGCTCAAATGCCACTGCCCAGAACTGTAGGCATATAATTTCCGATTCCTTCACTAGAGGGTTGTGCTACCTCGTTGTTTACTGGAGTGTTGTATCCAGTGATGCTGCCATGTTTCATGGCTCTCTTAACCCCATGCAAGATTCTTCTGCTACAACTTTTTGACTTGTAAGCAGAAGCAACTGAATATAATGGCTTTCTAAAAAAAATAGAAATGATTCAGGAATTGTTAAATATTGTTTTTAAAACAATATAAGGAATCCTCCTTTGATCTCTTATATGACTGCAGTCCTTAAGTTTGGACTACCGGGTACAATCTAAATTACAATCTGGCAATTCAGCTGTTGAAGTCAGAACTGGTACCACTCTGGGAACTCACAGCGTGGTTCTTGGACCCAGATACAAACTTTCAGATAACAGCTGGACCACGTTTCAAACACTCACTGCTTAGAGGAATCATCTGAAAGATTTCAATCTGTGTGAGGTTAAGCATTTCCTTTGGGTTTGGCAGCTCGTATCCTGTTCAGTGGCTGTTATTAATGGTGCCTTTTTTTTTTTCTTTAAACATATAGTTTCATAAATGGTCTTTGCTTATATGGAGCTCTTTTGCCAGATTTTGTTTCCTACGATAATGAAACAAGTGGTAACAACAGAGCATTTTTGTGTCACAAAAAAAAAACCTATTGTATTCATATCATCAAGCTCCTCAGACAAGGAAGGTCTTTTGAATATCTTTCCTTTGCTCTTACTCTCCTAAGGCATCAGTCTTTTGTTACTACATATCTATTGTATGTACTGAGACTACTGTGTTTTTACTCTTCCAACATGGTATTGTCTGAATTTATCTTAGGTAAGTAGTGGCTTATTTTCATCCAGACACCTCAATGTGCAGAGCTGAACAATTTCAGAAACCAATTTGAAGAGAAGCACTTTGCTAGCTGGCTGATTACATGATGTGGAGTGCCCTGATCTAACTCTGTGGGATATAATTGAGCATAGGAAAACAGAGAGAAAGGGAAGAAAAGAAAAGCAGGAATGCTATCAAACTTGTTATGCCCTGGTGTTAGTGACTTCCAAAGCCAGTGTGATGCTGGAACCACCAGCTAAGAGCAGCAGCTGTGTTATTGTGTGCCACTGTGATAGTGGCAAAGCAAGCAAACTTGGATAAGGAAAGAGACCTGAACTATAAGGGCTAAGTTTCACATGGAAAGTGTGAGGGATTACCACTTGGCTCTGGAAGGCTTCTGTTCTCCTAAGCACTGCTGCCCACCCATAAAGTGAAGGGAGAAGAAATAATCCCTAGTGCCGCAGAGTTGCCAGGAGTAATCAAAGTAATTCTTCTGTATTTAAGCCAATGTTAAAATAGTGGCTGAGATCGTGTGAACAGAGGGATTCTGAGTTATGTCTGTTTCTTGTTGAGATCAGGTGCTTGAGTTCTGCCCAAACTGTTTGCCATGACTAAAACTCAAATCTTAGATCGCTTATACGGGGTGGTCGCCCTTCACATGCTTTGTAAGCACCATAGCATTATACTATGATTATGCTGCCTGGGAGAGGGATCAAGAAAAGGCCAAGTTGTGTTGATTTCTTGCTGATGAATACTTCAGGGAGCTCTTCAAAGCAGACAGAAATCAGTGCAAATCTTGTGCATAAATGGAAGTTAGGTCACGTATATTTTCATGTACAAGTGAGCTGGTGCTGTATTTTCACTTCTGTTGCTTCATTGTTTCTCTTGAAATCTGAGTGGGGAACTCCTGAGCTGGAAACAGCATCATTGTTGGCTTAGACCTGAACATAAGCGTGGAAGATTTGAGTCTCAATACCCTTAACTGCATCTTCAGTACATGGATGTCTTTGAGTCTGCTGTTAGCCGTCCCTTTGTTAAAGGTTTCTTCTTTGCCCCTCACTACTTTTCTTTTAACTTTTCAATCTAATGGTGTGCAGAGAAGAGCATTCTTTGTTATCCAGCTTCAGCAAGTTAAGTGAATGTTCAGTCACAAGCCACAAACAGAGCTGTGGGAGTTAGTCATGACTTCTTATTGAAGTAACACATGCAGAATTTACAGCCTAATAAGAGAAAGGATGACCAGGTGAAGGAATCTTGTATGTTCTATCTTAAACTGTAAGCATTACCTATTTAGCTTCATAATAAACACCTGGACCTGTGTTTGGGTAAAGCAGCTGTTCCATAGGAACAGGTCGGCACTGCTAGGGAAGCCCTGGAGTTGAAGATTTGTTGTTTTTCTTTGAATTCATTTGAATTCTGTTCAGAATCTTCTGTACTGTTCAAAATATTCATTGCTCTTACCTTGAGCTAGTTCAGTCTTGATTTACAGGCTGTCCATTTGCTTGTGTAGTTACTTCATAGAATCATAGAGTCATTTGAGTTGGAAGGGACTCTTAAAGGCCACCTAGTCCAGCTCCCCTGTGATGAACTGGGATGCCTACAGCTAGACTAGGTTGTACTTCTCCCCTCTCTGCCTTTACTACCTGGTACTTCTGGGATAGCAGCTACTTTCTTAAGTGTCTGTGGGTTCCTGGACACTGTGACCACATTGTAGCCCAGACACTGTGTTGGTTAACAAGCTCTTAGTTAAGCATTTTTCAGTTCTTGAGTGGCTTCCCAGATTACTCCTTCCTCCCCACTTTAGCGTCAGGTTTTTTTTTGATAAATGTGGACATTCAGCTCTATATGCAGCACTGGTATTTCAAGCTTGTTTTGTCAAAACTCCACAATTATTGAATCGACTGTGAGTGACCTGGTCTATTCCATCTTCTTTATAGTGAAAGTATTAGCATTTGTCATTTGTCATATTGTGATTTGATGAAACTTTACATAATATTTATTAGTTGATTAATTAAAGCCTCTTTCATTCAGTGCTATCACATAGAATAGAATCATAGAAACATAGAATCACAAGGTTGGAAACGACCTGCAAGATCATCTAGTCCAACTGTCCTCCCATCGCCACTGCCACCACAAGCACAACCCATATCTTGTAGGTCCTCCATCCAGACACCTCTTGAACACTGCCAGGGACGGCGACTCCACCACCTCCCTGGGCAGCCATTCCAGTGCCTGACCACCCTCTGAGAGAAAAAGTTCTTCCTTATGTCTATTCTAAACCTCCTCTGGTACAACTTGTGGCCATTTCCGCAGGTCCTTTTTGTTCTCTTGGAGAAGAGGCCAAACCCCTCCTCACCACAACCTCCCTTCAGGAAGTTGTGAAGTGCAGTGAGGTCTCCCCTGAGCCTCCTCTTCTTCAAACTAAACAATCCCAGCTCCCTCAGCCGCTCCTCATAAGACTTGTGCTCCAGACCCTCGTCAGTTTTGTTGCCCTTCCCTGGACGCATTCCAGGACCTCAATGTCTTTTTTGTAGTGAGGGGCCCAAAACTGAACACAGTACTCAAGGTGTGGCCTCATCAGTGCTGAGTACAGAGGGAAGACTCAGGCATCATAGTTTCCTATTTTATAGATGCAACATCTGCAGCCTGATTTGCTAAGATGCAAATCTTCAGGGCTGGGACTGCACCCTGGAATTCATGGCCTGTCCTTGTATTTGCCTGCTCTGGCTTGTCTTGCCTTCTTTATAGTGTCTCTTTGTTTTGTGATACAGGTGAATTTATGCACTGTTAATGTTAAGAGTGTTCCATTTTTATAAGAGGGAGAAAATGTTTCCTAGTACACACAGTGAATTCAGCAGAACAGAGAGAGGATCACGTCCCCTTGGGCAGAAGAGAGGAAGAACAAATTTGTGTTTCAGCCCCTGGAGCTTCTGCACTAAACTCAGTGAGAATTTCCAATTGAAGCTCTCTGGTACCTGGCATATTGTACTGAAAGCAGCCTAATCTACTTATGCAAGTTCCCTGCCAGTGCGCTAGGATTAAAACTGAGTTATTATGGTGCAGCAAACATTAATTTAATTGCTGTTCCAGTACAGTTTGGCTTTTCCTGAAACATGTCAATTAAAACGTTAAACATTTGTGTATCTGTTGCCTCATTTACAATGATTTGAAGATATAAAGACTCAGGCAAACATTACAGATAAAATAAGCTGCCACTAAAATAATAACAAAAAAAAAAAAAATCTTGCAAAATATAGCAGTGCTTTGTGAGCTATCTGTTGTAGGTGTGCTTCCCAGAGATGCTATTGAGGATTAGCAGTTGATGCAGATGCTTTGTTCTTGAGCCGTCTGGCTGGGTGTTTTTCCCTTCCATGGTGAACCCTTGCTTATTTCAAAGAATCTTTGAGCAGTGTCAGTTGAGAACAGCAGGCTAATTCATAGCATGTGGGTATATGAAGGAAGTAATCTGGAGGTTGTGTGCACTCTGGGGAGCCCTAATACGTGAGGGTTTTTGTTGGGGAAGGAGGGAGAAGGGAGGGATGTTTATATCTAAGCTGGTGTCCCCAGATATGGCAACCAACAGTGGACAAATTGCAGCAAAAACAGCACTCATCTTTACCAGCATCAGTACTTGTTTCATTTGGGAATTGTTCCTCTCTAACAAGTTAATTACAAACCTGGAAACAAGACCAATGTCTTGTTAGATGTTCCTGGAAAAAAAAAATCTCCATGTGATGTTGTGTGAGTTAATAAAAGGAATTGGACAGTTGTATGTCTGAGATATGCTGCACTGCAGATGGAGATGCATCCGTATCTGCTGAGCAACGGAGTTAGACCTTTGCTGCAGCTGTGCAGTGATGGTGTTCACTGGTTTGGGTGCTCAGCAGATACAAGTTCGTAGAAGCTAAAGAGCTCTCAGGTTGAGAGGTGCTGTTGCTAAAAACCTAACCTGCAGATGGCTATAAAATCACATTTGTGGGCCAGTGAGATTTGCCTTCAGACCTGGAGCTGGATGTTGTGCGGAGCAGGAGCTCAGACAGCAGATTAGAGGTGATCTGTTGTCATCAGCAATGTGCCTGTAACCCCTTTGACTTAAACTCTTCCTGCTCAACTCTGTGGCATTTTGCTGGCTTCCTAGGCACTGTGAACTCATCTTCTCTAAGTAATTGTGATTGCCAACATTTTAAGAGGGTCCCTGTGTCAAACATTGTCAAAGCTGGAGAGGCAGAAGGGTATGGAAAAGCAGAAATCAGTGGAAGCCTTTAAGGCTTTTACTGAGTCATGCAGAAGCAAGAAAGGGCATCTGTACAGTAAAGTTGCGTTAATCCAATCCCGGTCCCTGTGCTGTCCTACAGCAGCTGGAGAAAAATGCTATTACCCACTTAACACAAGAATTACAACAGGAACATTTTTTATTAACCTGTGAGTGGAGTCAATTATGCATTCCTCAGACAGGCAGCTGACCTCCAGTGAATGTAACAGGCTCATTTCTTATCTTTTTAGCCCACTAACACCTCTTGACAGAGCAAGGTGTGTTGGTGTGGAGAAGAATCTTCTGTGACAGAAGTGCCATCTGCTTAAATGTCTCCCATCTCTCTTTCCTGTATGTGCTCACTTTTTTGGCCCTGCTCAGTTGTGTTCAGTAGTACTTCACGATGTCACTAAGTTTGGAATGGGTGCTCTGTTTTTCATCAAATTTGTGTTGCTGTGCATCTCGTCTTACTACTCAGGTTAAGCCATTTCATTATTATACAGTACTTGTATGATGTTGCTCCTGGTGTTCTTAGCAAGCAGCCTTATATTTTAATTTGTCTTTTTCTTTGTTTTCCTCTCTCTGGCTTAGGTCATTTGGTATTAGTTTAACGGCCCCCCGCAGGGGGGTTGAAACTAGATGATCTTTAAGGTCCTTTTCAATCTATGCCATTCTATGATTCTATGTGTACCTGCTGATTTTTATCCCATTGGATGGAAACTTGAATATCTCAGACAAATACTAGCCTCTTTCTCCCTCCACTCTTCCCTCACCTGTCTTCTTCTATCCCATCTGCTTTGCATGGGGCTGGGTACTGGGGAGCAGCGTGGCAGGAGCAGTGTGTCTCTAGCAGTGCGGCTGAAGTGTCACAGTACATGCTATCACATGGCCTGATGTGCAAAGCTTGTGAGCATTCCTAATGAGTATAGCACCTTACTCTCTGGGCTTTATGTTGTGGGGTTTTTTTGTGTTGTTTTCTTCTTTTTAGCAGTGTCTTTAGCCAGTTCCATATCTAATCCTACATGCTGGGGCCAGAAGCTGTCCTCTTGCACAAGACTGTACCTCTGCCAAGCGTGTTTAGCTCCCTCCTATATGAGTCACAATATAAAATCTGTGCTTTCATGACTGGGTAGCAGTCTGCATTTTTATAACGCTTCCTTCTGCCCACCTATAGTGTGTTGCAGGGCGCTGCTGCCTGACTTCCGCCACACCTTCCTCAGTGGGGCTCTGTGTCTGGCAAGCAGTAACACTAAATCCTACAGCACTGAATGCATATGATCCAGGTTTTAAGATAAGAAATCAACACTGAAGTTAATCACCGTCCTGTGCTCATCTGGAAATAAACCGTTGCTCCTCATCAGGCTGGAGCAGTGTCAGGTGGCCTGTAGTGCTGCACCTCACTGGCTGGATGGAAGATGTGGTACCTGGGCAGCAGGATGCTGTGCTGCATCTCCCCATACCAGTATGGCTGTGGGCTCTGTCTGCTGTGCCGTGCTGCTGGGATGCTCATGCTCCAGCTGGGAGCAGCGCAGTGCCGCCAGCTTCTCATTATCAGGGCTGACAGCTTGCAGGTTTGTGGGTGTCACTGTGGCACTTTGGGGACAGGAAATAGCATCCCTGCTTGGCACCATATGAAACAAATCCAGGTGGGGAGCTGGTGCCAGGTAGATGTCCTGCAGCAAATGTCCACTGCTTCTTCATTTGACTTCATCGACAGTTCTGAGGTTTAAACTGTGTTCAACTTGAGCAAGAAAACAGATGTTTAATAGGTATTTCCACACTGCTTTATTTAAAAGAGCAAATCATTCCCACCAATAAAAGTACTTTGCAGCCTGTGATCTTTGTACACCCTTTCCTAAGACATAGAAAATGTATTTTAATTAACTCTCCTGTAAATCAGCTGAGTTGATGTAAGTATGTAATTAAACTGTCGCAGTTAAATGTATGTAGCTGACTTCAGAAAGCAGTAGAGCTCCTGTATGTTTTCAGAGATAAACAGGGGTTGGAGAAGTGTTCATGATAAATCCTTCTTTGTCTGAAGATTATTTTCAGACTGTAGGCTCCTGTAATGCACTTCAGTTTGGGCTCCTGTAAGCCTCATTGGCAGCCTTCTTGTAAGCAGTGGGCACTGCATGCAGGGCCTCACCCTCCATTGCTGAGGAGATGCCCTCACACACACTCCTTTTCCTGCTTTCTGAAAATGCTCATTTCATGAGAAACGGGTAGCATCACCTGCCTTCTGCTGTGTGGGCTCATTTTTTCTCTCTGCTCGCATTGTGGAGGTGGTGGTTGTCACTGCTGTCCTTAACTGATCACACTGCTCTCTAATTCTCATCTCTGGCAGTGTTTCCCGTGCTCGGGGGTGACAGCAATAAATCAGTCAGGACAGTCTCCTGACTCCCCTCACCTGGACTTCCAGGATGCTCTTTTAAAGTAAATATCTAGAATAATATTTCTTCCACTAGCTTTTCAATTTAATCTGTAAAGTATGTCACATTGTTCCTTAACTGGGAATGGGAGGTGCATACTATAACTACACTTTTCAAATCAGCAGAAGAAAAGGTAAATGATGGCACAGCATAGATGCTAAGGGGGCAGAAAAATAAAATTTATTTTCTGTAACTCCTTGAAGTCTGCATCATTGAGATTCACATGGGAAGGATACCGTGCATTGGATTAGTTTTCACTCACTCATTTTTGGTTATTTAATACAGATTAAGAGACATGCAGAATTGTTGATACTTGTATGTTTCTCCCATGGCTGTCTGTTTACTGTACCAAAAGTAAGTTGATATATTTAAATGACCAAAACCAAATGTGCCTCTGAGCTGTTGGTGTGTTCTGGCTTTCTTACAGGCTGGTCCAGGGACCATCATCATGGCTTCAGGAGTCCAGGATTTTAACAGAACGGAGTCTGACAGACTGAATGAAATCAAAGGTCACCTGGAAATAGCCTTACTGGAAAAACACTTTTTGCGTAAGTAGAACATTACAGAATCACTAAGGTTGGAAAAGACCTATAAGATCATCCAGTCCAACCATCCACCCATCACCAATGGTTCTCGCTAAACCCTCAACACAACATCCAAACGTTCCTTGAACACCTCCAGGGAAGGGGATTCCACCACCTCCCTGGGCAGCCCATTCCAGTGCCTGACCACCCTTTCAGAGAAGTAGTATTTCCTAATCTCCAGCCTGAATCTTCCCTGGCGCAGCTTGAAACCATTCCCTCTAGTCCTATCACCTGTTATACGGGAGAAGAGGCCGACCCTCAGCTCGCTACAACCTCCCTTCAGGTAGTTATAGAGAGCAACAAGGTCTCCCCTGAGCCTCCTCTTCTCCAGACTGAACAATCCCAGCTCCCTCAGCCGCTCCTCATAAGGCCTGTGCTCCAGACCCCTCACCAGCTTTGTTGCCCTTCTTTGAACACGCTCCAGGGCCTCAATGTCTTAATACTCTGTGGAAAGGAATGGCTTAGGCCTGCTGGAAAAAGACTTGATGTTGATGTATGTTCTCGAAAACTGCAGGAGGTGGCATCAGAATTTTGAGGTATGCTGATGACTGGATAATGCAGGGGCTGACATTTCTCTGAGAAGAATTTACCTTTCCCAAGATTGCTAGATCATTGAAGTATTTTTTTTAATGGCATTTGTCACAACGTACAATGCTAAGTGACAAACGCTGTTTCTTTGAAGCCTCAATGTTGTAAGGGAATATTGTTGGAAGGTTCAGCCTCTAGTGCAATACCACCAACATCTGCCTCTGACATCGTGAGCCAACATAATAAAACAAGAAATTATTTACAGAGCAGCCCTCGTTTCAACAGATCAGAACAGAAGATAGGCATTCCTTTAACGTGATAGAAGCAGAGATCTCCAACAGAGTTCTCACTCAGCTGCTTTCCCAAATGGTCATTCTAGTGGATAATTTTTGAACTTCAGAATATGAGGATTGTTTTTAGATGCTCAAAGCTTGTCAAATGTTTTCTCAGGATAAAAATAACATGTTTACAGATTCTATTCAATAACTAGTTTAAAATCTTAAAATAATTTAAGACTTGTATTTTACCTTCAGCATGTTCTCAAGGACTTGAAATTAATTTTATGTGACTTGTTTATCTTTTGGCAATATTTCTTTGATGTTTTATTCCCGAGTGCAAGAGGGAGGCGTGATAAAGAAACTGGACAAAAATGTATAGTAAGCTGATATCAACTTCCATTAATAATCTGGAGGAGGTATCATGAGTGATCTATCAAGCAAAAGCTGGTTGTAATTTATTTGAATTCTAACTCATCTGTGCAGTACTGAAGTTACCTCATACTTCTTATATCCCTGGAATTGTATTGCTTAAGTTACTGTTATCAGATTGTTCTTTGAACTTTTGTGATGTTCTAATGTAATCTGGTGTGTAAGAGAAAGTAGGCCTTCCCAGAACTCATTTCTGGCTTAAGTAGGACATATATCTTGCTATAAAAACATTGTATGGCTGCCAAACACTTCCACTGCTGGTGATCCATTTGCAGCATATAGCGTGGTAGTTACAGGAGCTAAAAAATGTGTAGGGCACACATTTTTACAAATATTTTTTACTTTCAGGCTTATGCTGTAGTCTGAAAACCTTCTTATCAACCATTTTAGCACTTATAATTGAATCCTTTCCTTTTGCATATTGATCACAAACCTCAAGGCTGGAAGATAAGGAACGTAATTGTTTGAGAATATGTTTGGAAGTTCAGGCCAACAGGGGTAGTTCTGGTGGGTTGGTCAGGCTGATTCCAGCCTTCCTGCTGGGTCAAGACAAATACTGAAGCCTTGGCTTTGCTTTAGCTGCAGTCATTCTTATCCTGATGAGTTTTTTGCAACTCTGTACAGAAAAGCAAAAGAATGATAAACTGGTAAAGGAATAAGCACAGAAAAATCTCATTCCTCACTCCCACTCTTACCCCCTTCAGAATTTTGGTCTGAAATACATAACTGTGTTTGCCAGTTGGAATGAAATAGGAGTTGAATTTTTTGAGTATGGTTCTTGTATTCATTAATTCTGTTTCTTATTTCTTTGAGGTTAACGAGTTGAAGGGTTTTTTTAGTGTTTTTTATTTGGTTCTAGAAATGCTGTATGATATATATATCTTTTTTTCTTCCCAGAAGTGAACTGACGATGAGCAGAAAAACATTCTTGAAATGTGCAGTTTGTTTGCTTTATTTGCCTTTGGAAGAAAGCCTGGTTTTCAGTGTTTTTTGTTGTTGTTTTTTAAGTCTTACTGCTTCAATAGATGATTTTTAAGGCCATTAACTGTATCTGCATGCTGGTTTGGTGTTTTTTTTTTTTTTTTAAATTGAGGGTTTCCTTAAGTACTCCTAAAAACTGTTAGGTGTACTCCCCCCTGTACAGTATGTGTATATAAAGCTGCAGGTCACTTTATGGTTGTAAATGTATAGCTCAGTGAATAGCAGACTGCTGCTCTTTCCTAAATTACAGTCACTCATTAGTGGGCATGAGTAAAAAGTGCAGTATGGCTCAGTAATATTTTCAGTAAAACACATCTATGCATGACCATGGCCTCTAAAAGCTGGAAAGGAAATCTAGAGCAAATATTTACCCAACACGCTCACAAAATAATGTAGTTATCTAAAGGGAGAGTATCTTCAACTGTGCTGCCAAATGAATCTCTTCCTTCCTTTCTAAAGAGAGAATCTGAAAATCCAGGGAGGTGAAGATGGAGAGGCATTACTTAGCATGTTCCGTAGCTATAAATGCAAATAAAATGTGTCTGGAAATGCGAGGATTTTAAGCTTCAGACTGACAGGAGTCCTGTCACTCACCAGGAAGAAAGGATCTTAGATAATGACATCTTAAGCAAGGGAGGGATCATCTGACTCTTCCAGCCAAAAGGGCTAAAGTTGCTTTTCCTGTCTGTACAGGAATGTTCTTAATCTGCGTAATCTAATGGGTCCTTCTGAACCTCATTATAGGAATGACAACAGGCATTTTGGGTACCAGACTGCAGTATTGGAGTGGATGACTCAGTGATTAGTTCCTGCAGAACAGTGTTTAAATGCCTGCTGAATGAAATGTGCAAAGAGTTTTGTCTGCTGGAAACACCAGACAGAAGTGGATGGAAAAAAAAAAATTGTTTTGAAGCTGTTGCTATTTTACATTTGTAAAGGACCATGCATTACTATAACCTTGCTTTTGTGCACTCCAGCACTACACTGGTGCTAGCTGAGGGTTCAGGTTTGGAAGACAGGTACTGAACTGGGGTGGCTAGACTATTATATTGTGGTTAGCAGGGTTTTTAAAAACATGGTTCATAGTATTTATTCTTTTAGATCATACTTAGTACAGATGAACAAACTATTGAACCAACCATGCTACAACAGCTTTCAGTGCTTCCATTTCACACTTTCTGTGCCTAAAGGAGAATAAAGCTAACTTGCTGCTTTTGCATTCAGAAGACAAAAGGGTAGGCAATATCTTTCTGGATTTGTACCTCACTGAGAGCTTTTTTTCCCTGTGTTTGTCCCTGATTGTAGAGGGCAGTTCTGCAGCTGATATTAGTTTATGCCAGCACTCTGTGCTACAGGCATGCTTTGTGGGTAGGCACTTATCCTATGGCTCACATGAAGCATTAGCTAATTCTCATTCAGGGATGTTGAAGCCTGTTGCAGTGCTAATTTTAGCAACTCAAGGAAGAGGAGATGATGGTGGCAGCAGCTGAGAGTAAACAAACCAGGTGTCTTAGAGAAGAGTCACCTGGTGACAGGAACTGAAGGAACTCGGAATGAGACTGAAAGACTTTGGGAGGAAACAATATCCTTTCCCACAAGGATTTTGCATCCCACTCTGTTCAGCAGGCTGTTGCAGGAGTCCCTTGGTGCTTAAAAAACTACTGTTCTGGGTTATGATGTTTATAACAATATCAAAGAAGTTGAGAGTATGCATCTTTCACATTAAAAGTTCTGCTGAACCCCTCTCTGGTATGCATTTTTAAGCTGCGTGCATGGCTAACTCTGTGGCTGCTTCTGTTTTGTTGCTAACCAACTCAGTGATTCTTTGTATGAAGAGCAAATTAACAGAATGTACTTATAAAAGCAGAGCTCCAGATATCTGTGTGGTCTTCAGGCACACCTGGGATGTTAGAAAAGGGGTGATGTTGTGTGGTGCTGGTGGTTGTGACCAGCCAAAATATCCTGTTTGAAGGCCTATTCTGTACAGAAACGCTAACAGCTCCTAGCAAAGCCGCAGCAATTGTATGTAACAGAGTGACTGTAAAGCTGAGTCAGAGTCCTATTGTCACAGTACCCTTGGTGTAATTGTTCCTGATATGAAGGTCAAATACCTGCTGAAGCAGCGAAGCTGGAGAACAGCAGAGGAACTGTTTCAGTGCAAGTTTTGCTTTCTTACTGACTCAGCAGCCTATAGTCACCTTTGGTTCAGAAATCTTGAAGTAGAATTAGGAATTGATGCAGCAGCCTGCCTTCTTAAAGTGTGCTGATGCTTTGTACTGCCTCTGCACCTTCACCTCAGCCTTGCTTTTCTCAGCTTAATATCCTGGACTCCCAGATGCTGATGGGTGTTTCTGGGAGATCAGTACATGTCCAGTGCTCTGTCTGGGTGGAGGATGGGTTCTGCTCTTGCTCTCTCATCTTGGCTCTGAGAGCCCAGGCTTGCCAAGGCCAGAGAAAGAAAGGCTACAATTACAGCTCAGAGCCAGCAGCATGATGTAGTCCTGGGCTGGTCCTGTTCCAGGGCTACCTTGTGCAGCCTGCACTAGATATTTCCCAAAATGTGTTGACAGTGGTTGTGAGAAGGTGCCAGAAGCCTGGGAGGCCCAACCCAGGAGGATCCCATGCTCCTCTGATGCTTTCTGTGGGGCCAGTTAATCTCAGTGCAGCACTGTGCTGACAAAGATAGATTGTTTCTGGTTCTGAAAGTTGCTCCCTCACTGCCTCTGACAGATGCTGCCTACGCATTGT